GAAACTAGAAGTTAGTTCCAAAGAGTAAAATCATACATTAACTAAAATCAGCTTTTGAGATTGAAATACAAACTAAATGAGAATTCATAAAAAGTCTTTTGTAAAAGTAGGGATGTAGTGCTTCCTGAGAGATCCCTTTTCTAAAGTTATGAATGGCTTAGCATTTAATACATCTCAGATATTTCTCTTCGGAAAAAGTGTAATTAACACATTTAAGTAAAAGCTTTTTTCTTGGTATGCTAATCCTGACCTTTACATACTAATTTTTGGATCAGCTCAGCCAGCCATCCTTGTCTATGAGACAGGAGTTCTGTAATCAGTTTTCAAAGTTAGTCTCTGCCACTCTGTCCTGTTTAATACAGTAAGCACTATCTGCACCAACATTCATTTATGTGAACAAATGGGTCAAAACATATGAAAACATGTTGAATTGTGGTCTACAATTAGAGTGCCTTGTTTCTCATGAAGTTTGTAGGGGGGAGGATATAGAAATAAGGCTGAAAAGTCGTAGTGTTTGGTGTCTTCCTTAGAGAAAAACTATACAGTACATATATATTAATATATATATTAATTAAATTAAAACCCTTTTTTTATTCCTATTTCTAATGCTGACTTTTTTTGAACTAAGTTCAGTGCTTTCATTATACTTGCCAGTAAATGATAGTATGTTTGAATTTTAGGTTATTTATGTGTATTTGATAGTTGTTAAGTCCAAACTCAGTAACTACTTGTCCAGAAAGATACCTGTAAGTTCATAAATGCCAGATATTTTCTTTTACCACACAAACTTAAGTAGAAAAAATGATTAATCTGTTTGCAGTTGTTTTTCTTTTTTTTTTTTTTTTTTGTGAGACAGAGCCTCAAGCTGTCACCCTGGGTAGAGTGCTGTGGCATGACAGCTCATAACAACCTCCAACTCCTGGGCTCAAGCAATTCTCCTGCCTTAGCCTACCAAGTTGCTGGGACTACAGCCCGCCACAACGCCTGGCTATTTTTTGTTGCAGCCATCATTGTTGTTTGGGAGGCCCAGGCTGGATTCCAACCCACCAGCTGGGGTGTATGTGGCTGGCGCCTTAGCCGCTTAAGCCACAGGCGCTGAGCCGCAGTTGTTTTTCTTACAGTGGACATTGACTTCCATTCATTTTCTGTAAAATTACTCAATAGAGAAGTAAAATTTTCTTTTTTGCTATCCTAAGAAAGGTTATTTATAGGAATGTAAGAGTTCAGTATTACAGCATTCTAAATAATTGATGGCCGGGCAAAATGTTAAAAGGAGAATGTACAGTTTCAGGAAAAAGAAAGCAAAGAAAATCAGGAACAAATGGGAATAAAGATTGGTTAAAAATAATTACTGTTACATATCTGCCTTATAAATGTATACCCATTTTAATTAAGCATCTGGTGACTTTTTCTTTTAAGGTTCGACGGAGAAGTTCTAAAAGGGAGAGGCGATGAACAAATGTAATTAACTTTCTGCTTGAAAGCTTTGGCAAAACTAATTTGTTGTCAAGCTTGAGGCTGAATACAGCCTTTGATGCACAAAATGGGACTGCTGAAGTGGACAGTTGGACCTTACTTTGATGACCCCATGTATTTTGTGGTCACATGCTTTAGCCATACGCATGATAACATTGACTATGGAGTCTTGTGAAAGTGTAATGTGCGATGGCTATGTAGAGATAAAGAAGACATAAACTTGTAAATATCTTTTTTTTTTTTTAATGTTTCTGACTTCTAAAGTGCTTGTATAGCTTTTATCTGCGGCTTTAAACTGACAGTACCCAACTGTTTATTGGATCTATTGATATGAAAAGAGTTTGTTAGAATAGATCTTAAGCAGTAATCTGTCAGTGTTTGTATTTGTATTCTTTGCAATTTTACTGTGAAAAAATTTTTTTCAACAATTGGTGTCATTTTCTTGATGTCACTATTTGTTGGAGAATTAAATGGTCTCTTTCCCATGTGTATCTTACCTAGTGTTTACTCTTGGGCACCCTTAATCTTCAGAGGTGCTAAATTATCTGCCATTATACCAGAACAATGCCTCTGCTAAGAGGACACCATGCAAATTGTGAAATAGTCTGGAAGTTGTTTGATTACTTTACACCTCAGTATTGGTCCCAGAATTTTCTGGCCTTTCATGGCAATGAAAATTTTAAGAAGAAAGAGATTTAAAATATTCTAATTTTAAAGAGTGTGTTATAAAATAATGTACTGAATTCTTTATCCCATTTAATCATCCCTTTTCAGTTTTTATTAATCTACTGTATCAATAAAATTCTGTAATTTGAATGAGTTTTAATAGTCTAGAATGTTATTGTGTATAGATAGTTCCTTTGAACATTATGTTCTTAAAATGCAAATTATTACACTATAATATAAAATCTGATAAATACACATTAGAAAAATTACAGTTCTTCACAACAGTGTAAAGTTAATCAGAAAGAAAAAATTTTATTGATGCAGTGTGTCTTTATAAAGCTGTTCTTGAAAGCCAAGTGTTTTGTATTTTATAGTGAGTTGCATGTTTATGGAAAAAAAGTGCTGAAAATGGGATGTGTTCTTTTCCTGTAAATTCATATTTAGCCATAGTATATAATAGATTGCCCCATAACATAGTTTTTCATCAAGAGTTTATTATTGTATTTTATTGTGGAGCCAAAAAAATTGTTTTAGGGGAGGGGCAGGGTAGAAGTCATATATACAACTATATCAGCTCCTGTAGGGTTTTACAATCTTAAAAACTTCAAATGAAATTCCACTTTGTCCAGATTAGGAGAAGTGGAAATTTATTTGGATTTAGAGCAGATCTTTTTTTCTTCATTGTTAGCTGCAAAATATATGAACAAATTATTTACAGCAGTATCTTTCGTACAGTTGTATAAACTGTATTTTGAACCAAAACATATACGTTACTACTTAATGCTTATCTAAATTCATTTATTATGCTGTTTCAGGTGCTGTTCTTTTCGTTTTTCATAGTTAACACCAGAAAAGGAAATCATATTCTAATTTATTAGTTCATCACATTGATTTACAGAGCATTTTCATATAATACACCATTATGTTTAAGGTATATTTCCAAGATTGGTTATAATAGATGATGGGGCATATAATAAAGAAACTACTATTTTGGAAAATGACATTTTACTATTTTCCAATGTGTATTGCAGTTGATGTGATTATTTTCTTCTAAAGATTTCTTCATCTTCATGGAATGGCCTTTTATTTTTCAAAAAAAATGTTTTAAATTGTGTTTGAATCTCTTAATATTTAACTATTCTTCATTTACAACAGTGCTGACACCAGTGATTATGCGAGGCTGCTATATACCAAAGCAGCTGATGTTGGACCAAAATACAGAGGTTTTCTTTAAACATTTCATTAGTGCAATTCTCTCAAACACTTTATCTATTTCAGAAGCAGTACAAAGGCATGTTTTGAAATCTATAACATAAAGAGTAAAGGATAGCTTTGTATTTTTATTGTTGACTAAATTGCACCAGAAATGTTTATGGAAATATATCTTTAAGACCGTTTTATAAAACATAAGAGAAAATGATTGTGGAGGATTTTTATTTGCATGATCATAGCTATAGAATTTCATTGCGCATTAATGCTGTACATCAGTTCACAAAAAAGTGTTCATTGTAGAATTTGCTTATGTTCAATGCCAATGAGTATGATTTTGCAACTTGTCTTCATTATTTGGGAGTATTATGATGTAAATTTTTCATTTTTCTGTAGAAAAAATAGGTGCAATAATGATCAAAATTTTGTTGTCTTGAGTCTACATATTAGGGGATTATCTTACTATGTTTAAACTTAACATTTCATGTACTAACATTTGGAGAGCCACATAACTTTAACTACAATAAAATTATGTATAAAAGATCAGTTGCTAACAGTTGTTAGCAAACTCTTCAGTGATAATGTTCATTTTGAAGATGTGTACTGTACAACTTTAAGAAAATGTTTAAGTCACTGTAACAAGTTCCATTATGAAAATCTTAGGGTTCCTCAGTGAGGTTCTCTTGCTGCACTCTGTAGCACATCTACTTAATCGACATTATGACAGAATTTCTTGCTGCAGTGCAACAGGAAGCTTTTTCAGTGATCTCCACTGTATATGTAAATTACAAATGTGGCTGTAAAACTTGTTCTAGGTATTAAAGGTTAAATTACTTTCTATATCTTCTTACAACTTGTAAGTTTGATTTTTAAAATACCCTTTGCCCACTTTAGGACATATGTCAGGAATTTAAGAATTTGTTTAAATTAGGCACATCTCTGCTACCACACAGTATTATGTCACCATAATGAACAATTAGTGTTTAGGTAGATAACTGATTTTCAGACACATTTTGGATTTTCTGTGAAGTTGAATAAAAATGAAAGCTAATGTGATTGTATTATTTTATTTATTAAATTGGTGTATATATTTAAATACTATGCAGAAAGGCACAATTTGCTGATTTTTAATTTTGAAGTCTTTATTTCATGGAGAGGAAACATTTCCCAGTAACTTTTTCTAAACTTTTTATTCCCATGCAAAATGTTGACTGACAGAGATTTACTAAGTACTACTTAAGTAAAGGAATTACACAACAGAAGAAAATAAATTTGTAATATGAGCTTTTAAAATAAGCACTAAATTGCTAGTGGCAGTTTTATTAATTTTTTTCAGCAAACATTGAGTGCCTGCTATGTGCCAAGCACTCAAAAATTTTACTCAGTTTTACAGAGGATAAAGTGTGATCAACATAGATTAAGTCCCTGCCCTTGTGGTACTTGTAACATTCTTTTGTGAGTTGACAAATAAGGAAAAAATAATTAAATATATAGTGTCAGATTGTGAAAAATAAAATACAGCGAATGAAAAAGAAAAAGGATAGAGAGTGAAATGATCGGGGAGAAGTTGTAATTTGAATACTTTGAAACTATGTTACTTGGTTCACAAAGTTTAGGATTGTTATGTCTTCATGATACGTCTTCATGTTGAAGTGTTAATTTTATAATTGAAAATGTCACTTGTTATCTTTATGAATACTTAGTGTCTACTTTGCCTGATACTAATGTAACTATATAAGTTTTATTTTATTTGCATGATGAAACTTTTTCTGTCCTTTGATTTTCAAGCCTTTATGTTTAGATGTGTGTCATATAAACATTTTATATTTGGGTCCTATTCTTTTCTTTAATCTGAGAATCTTTGTTCTTTAATAGTGTTCAGACTATTTACTTTCAGTAAATTACTTCCAGTGTACTTAGTGAGGTAGTTGATTTTTAAGTCCAAGTCCACCATTTTGTTATTTTCTTTTTTGCCTATCCCTTCCTCCCCTTTTCTTAACTTTCTTTTGGCTCATTTAGGTGCTTCTTACTGTTCTGTGTCTTCTCTTAGCTTTTTAGTTATACCTGACTGTGTTTTTTTTTAGTGATTAGTCTATAGATTATAATATCTATTTTAACTTATTATGGTATTGCTCTGTATTGCTTTTGCCACAGTCAGAACAATGCAAGAAACTTAAAACTATTTGATTCTATTTGTTGCTTCTATCATTTGTGCTATGGTTGTATATTTTCAGTTAGAATTTATATTTACTCTTACATTTTTCTTTGCTTCTCTTTTGTTGTTTTTCATTTTGTGCTTTCATCTTAATTCAGTTGCTAACTCAGATATTTTGTATTTGTTTGAAAAGTCTTTACAGCACCTTCATTTTGAATAGTATTTTCATTGAATACAGAAATCTAGATTGGCATAAAAGTAAACGTTTCATTGTTTTTATCTTTTCTGTTGAATAGTAAGCAGAACATCTTTTTTACTCTTTGTAAATAATGTTTCCTTTTTAAAAAAAAAAAAAATCTCCTATTTTTTAGCAATTTGTGATGTGCCTTAGGAAAGATTTTCAATTTATTGTGCTTTGAGTTTGCTGACTTTGAATTTATAAATTTTGAGAAAAATTTGGCCATTATCCTTTCCATATTCTACACTATTTTCTATTTCAGATACTGCCGTTATATATGCATTAGATCATTTTTATCCCATGTGCCTTTAATTTCTTTTCCATTCTTTGCGCTTTTCTTTTCTTCTCTGTGCTTTGTTTGGATATTTTCTTTTGATCCATTTTAACATTTGCCAGTTCTTTCCTTTGCCATGTTCATTCTTCACTTTAACCTTTCTGATTATTAATTTCAAATGTTATATCTCCAATTCTAGAATGTACAGTTAATAATATTTTATAGATTTCAGTTCTCTGTTGAAAGTTTTTCAACTTTTCACTCACCTTTTCCTCTTCTTTCTTTAATCTTTTGTGCGTAAATGCCTGTGGGCATTCAAATGATGTCTGTAGGCATGTTTCATTTCTGAGTGCTCTGCAGTCAAAAGCGTTAAAAAAATTTTATAGTTCAGATCTTTACCAGCTAATTGTAATTATCAGCTAATTACAACATCTGAATCATCTATGGGTGTGACTCTGTTATGACTCTTTTTTTCCTCTTGAATATCAAGCATAATTTTCCTGGTCACAGTTTTCCCCCTCCCCTTTTTATATATCTTATAACTTTCCTTTAATTCAGGATATTTTGTATAGAAGAACTAAAGAATTGAGGTTAATCAGATTTCACTGCTGCCCCCCCCACCCCCACCCCCACCCCAAGTATATCCTTTTTTGTCTGTTAGGCATTAGAGAAATTGATCTCCTCAAGATTAGGGACTGGGTGGCAGCTTTAGTTAGACTCAGTCCACTTCATTCCAATGCCTTAAGGGTAAGACACGCATTGTGAGACAGGCCTCTCACTTTAGAATAGCAAGCAAGGAGATTTTTCATTCAGACATTCCAGAAGAATTCTTCGTGAGAGTGATGTCTGAGCATGGACCTCAAGTGAGGGATCCAGCTATGTGGATATCTGGGAGGAGAATATTCTAGGTCGAGGGAAGAGTAGGTACAAAAGCCCTAAGACAAGAATGAACTTTGTACCTCAGGCATATCAAGAAGGCTAATGTTTCTAGAGTTAAGGTAAGCAAGAGATAAAGGGGTAAGAAAGAAGGTTAGAAGATAACAAAGAGGCCATATTACGCCTATATGTCTTGAAGAGTTTGATTCAAAGATGAGTGGGAATCCATTGTAGGTTTCTGAGTAAGAGAACCTTTGGGATCTTTGGGTGTTTAGAGTCCTGTGTTTTATGTGTCTCTTTATTTGAAGACTGAAGCAGCTTCCAAAAGAAAAACATAGCTTTCATACCATCTGACATTTCCAAAATCTGAATGCATGTTAACTACTAAGAACTTGAACTTAGT